CCCACCGAGCCACACTGGCCAGAACTGAGATTTTTCACAGTTATCGAATGGGGGCATGTCTTAAAAATAGTTGAAATACACTGGGCTGGTGAAGGCTTTCTGGACCACTGCCTATTTTAGAGGCTTTGGAGAATCCACTCTACTGTCTGCATGTGATGCTGTAGCCATTACTGTTTGTTTCTACCTTTTGATTCAGTGGTTTTGAGACCTCCATAAAACTGTAGGGCCCCAGAAATCATTCTGTTCAAAGCTGTCCTTGTAACGTGAAGATCTGAGACTCTAAGAGGTGAAGGGCCTTGCTCAGCTAGACACAGGGCAGAGCCAGGATTAAAATCCCATGCCCTTGCTTCTTCACAACTTCATACACATGTAACTGCCGCCTTCTCTGGCAGGGCAGTTTGTCTCTTAGTGTTAGAAAACGCCTGACCCATGACAGACTAGGAAATGGGCTGAAATCTGCTGCTAGAACGTGGTTTCCTTTATCTGGAAGTGAACCTTTTATGCCTGAGGGCCTACCTGAACAGAGGCTGTCTTGGCTGAGTTTACAGAACAGCCATGTGGTCGTGTTGGCTGACAGGGGTTTGCACATGTGGCAGAATCAGAGTTGGAACACCTTAGTTCCTGGAACAAGGCACCTGCTGTAAGGTCTGGTAAGACCTCCACAGCCTTTGCCTGTCTCTAATGTTGAAGGCCGCTGATAACCGCAGAAAGAACTTGTCCTATGTTGCTCACAGTTGTGTGTGTGCATCTTCTTCTCAGAGCCCTGAGAAGGAGAGGACTTCAATCTTGACTCTGTACTTTAAGAAGGGATGAAAGCAGACACCACAATCCTGCTCAGAATGGCTCAGTGCTTTTGGCTTTTGAACTAGTACAGGTGATTCCATTCCGGTTGGCAGGGGAGGGGGAACAACCTTGAACCTTGTTTGCTTCACTGTGTGACCTCCCTTTGGCACTTTCGAGTGTGTAACTGAACCAGGGCTTGGCCGTAAGATACTTGCATTCCTAGTCAGGCAAAGTCAGCTACTTCTCTGAGCCAAGGAAGGTGAGTGGCAGCTGGGCCTGGGAAGGCTATTAAGAGGGATGGCAAAATGAGCAATTGTAAGTACAACAGCGGAACAAGGTGTCTTCTAAGTGAGAATCTGGCTCCAGGCCTCGGAGGCCTTCCTTTCAGTGTCTAGATAGGTGTCCTAAGGACAAGGAGTATTAATAACAATAACATTTTATGTGCTATCAGGTGCCTTTGAATATAGCACATGAAAGTGACCTTTTGGAAAAAAACAGCTTATATGCCCTAAATATGAGAATGGTTAAATAGGCAATGGTATATCCACACATGGAAATAAATCTATGAAGTTGTTTAAAATAATGAGATAGATTTGTTTGTGCTGGTAGAAGACAATCTCTAAAACTTATTATTGAGGTGGGGAGGGGAAATCAAGTACCAAATCAACACTCAGTACGGTTGTAATTAAGCAACCTTCTGATACTTAAAAGTTTTGTTTGTAATCCTCACCCAAGGATATGTTCATTGACCTTAGAGAAAGGGAGAGAGAGAGAAAGAGACATCGATGTGAGAGAGAAATATCAATTGGCTGCCTCCCATACACACCCTGACTGGATATTGAACCTGAAACCTAGGTATGTGCCCTGACAGGGAACGGAACCTGCAACCTTTCTGTGTACAGGATGATGCTCCAACTGAGCCATGTTTTAATTTTTAACAAAAACAAATACCTATATCTCTATCTATCTATAATATCTATTTGTCTAGATAGATAGATAGAGATATAGAGATATAGATATCACATATAGTTAAGAAAATATAGTAAGAAAAAGAAAATGTCTGAGTAGAGGTATCTTAAACTTTGGAAAGATGAAATTGTCCTTGGAGCCGAGCCATTGCACATGAACACGGGGGGCATCTGGGCATGTCTTTAAACCCTGGGTGGCAGCAAGAAGTGCTTTAGGCCCTGCTTCTCTGCCTCTCAGTTTCTCCTCTATAAGCTGTACACAGGTTATATTCTGTCCCGCTGAAAGGCACAAATCCTGCAGGCAGTGGGAAGAGGCTCAAGAGGGAACTGGCAAAGCTCAGGGACCATTCCCCTGCTCATTCTGGTCATGGATTGTTAGCACCGGTTGCTCAGTGACTGCAGAACCAACTTGGAGCTTCGTTGTCTCAATTCATCTTGATAAGAAAAGGTTACGCATACTCTGAGGCTAGGATAAAGCCAAGTCTACACACTTTGGGATTTACCCTGCTAGGGGAACTTTTATGGATGGAAACTCCTTAAAAACAAGTGAGAGAGAACTCTCTTCTAGTTGAGAAGCTTTGTTTGCAATTTCAATGAATAATGATTTGAAAATACAGTTTTGTCTTATGTGTTGTTTGAGAGCTAAATGTCTAAATGAACCTAGAATCCTCTCGGATTCTGTGACAAACAGTATCAACATGGGGAAAGGAGAGACCTGGTGGTGATTTTGCCGGCCCTGAAAGCATCTGAGGATCTGCCCAGCTTGCACCCTTTTTTAAGTTCAGCTCATTCCATCAACCCTTCCTCAAGTGTCACCCTCTGCAAAGTTTTCTTCAAGACTTCCTGGAACCAGCCAGGATTGAGGGGATGATTAAGTGACTAGCAGAGGGAATGGGCATGGTGAGCCATCCTACCCACTTTTACTTGCATTCTCTCAGGTGATCTGAACACTGAAGAGCCTTTTCATCAGTTTTGGTTGGGCGCTGAGTGGGTCTAGGTATGAACTGCCCTAGAAAATCTGCTCTGAGATCAGTGATTCTCTGCTTCTGTTGGATGGAATGAAAACTCTTAAACCTGCATCCACCAATGAGCTGTGTATCTACAGCGAGTTACTTAATGTGTCTGTTGCTTGGCTTCACTTCACTTTCAAACGAAAGCACTGGTCATGCTTGAACTTTGAGGGTACCAATAGCTCTGGGGTTCCATCTTCAAGACTCATAAACAGGCCCCGGCCAGGTAGCTCAGTTGGTTAGAGTGTTGTCCCAATACTCCAAGGTTGTGGGTTCGATCCCCCCTCCCAGAACATGTAAGAATCACCAGTGAATGCAGAAATAAGTAGAACAACAAATCTCTTTCTTTCTCTTTGCCTCTCTGTAAAATTAATAATAATAATAATAACTCTTAAACAATCCATGACTCTTCCCCCAAGATAACTCCTAACACTCCCCTCAGGTTGAGTTTGACCTGGGACAAAAAGGCATAAGAAATGGTAGGAAAATTTAAATGGCCTCTTCTTATGTAAAGAGGCCAGTGAACATGGTAACAGCTGTCGCCACCTCAAAGAAAACACTAAGAAATTTCCTTTAGGTAAAATTCCTTTAGGAGAGAACATTAGGAGATCAAAGCAGGCATAGGGATTACTGGGAGGGTCCCTCTCAGCCAGTGTTTAGTTTTGGGAGTCAATGTCTCACTCAGAAAGTTCTGGAGAAACCATCCATGGGCTAATTAGTAGAAGGGGCAGGAGAGAATGGCAGCCAGGTTTGTTGAGTGGGTAAGTTTGAAGGCATGTAGACACAGAAAGGTCACTATAACATCCTAATTAGCACTCCCCTCATTAATACTCTTTCCCTCTTCTTTTGTTTCTTTTGCTTTAAAAATAGGTTTTAAATGGCTTTGAAGATATCCTGCCATTTCTCCTTTAACTATTAATATATATATATATATATATATATATATATATATATATATATATATATAATCTCCTCTCCCAGGGATATTTTTTCTATAGATTTTCAGAGAGAGCGTGGAAGGGAGGAGGGGGGGAGAGAGGGAGGGAGGGAGGGAGAGAGAGAGAGAAAAGAAAGAGAAACATCAATGTGAGAGAGACATCTCTCTCAAAAAACAACTGGTTGCCTTCTGCACATGCCCCAACTGGGGCTAGGGATGGAGCCTGCAACCCAGATACTTGCCCTTGACCGGGAATCAAACCCGAGATCCTTCAGTGCAAGGACTGACTCTCCAATCACTGAGTCATGCCAGCCAGGATGAGACCTAAATATTTTTACATAAGGTAATACCTCAGAGATGAGAAACCTGAAAAATCCCTGCCCAAAGCACAGCTCTTTGCTTCTCTGGCAATGCATCACAAACCTTGATGCATCCCAATGATGTGAGTGCTTTGTAAATACAGATTCCTAGGGCTCGCCATAAATGAACTCAGATGCTCTGAAGAGGGGCCCAGGGGTCTGCATTTTCGACAAGCTCCCATAGGAGTCTTTTACCCACAGCATCTGAGAACTTTGGCTCTATGTTCTAATCAAGGTCTCACCGTTGCAAATAACTGGTTTCATATAATCTATCTCTGGACCATTTGGATCTTTTTTGAATAAAAATTGCTCCAGTAAGTATGCTGTTTTAGAAGACAGTAGTAAGCATGTCATATGCTAATTATGGCCAATGATGGCATAAAACAAAAGTGCATTACTGAATGCTTTCAATTTCTTATAATGATGGCAAGAAGGCATGTCATGGGGCCTTTTTAGCCCCAGACATCACTCCAGAGAATTCCAACAGATATAGACAAGGGCCATGCGGACTCAGATCCTTTCCGCTCAGGCTGTTTACCCATGGGAATAGGATGTCCTGAAGTAACACTTCCCCCAAGTGAAGTGCTGATCAGTCCAGTTATCAGAAAGATATTACTGGGAGTGTGATGTGCAGGGTATTTACATTTTCCTGATAGAGTTAGTCATATGAAAGCTGACAAGGAAGGCAAAAGAGCAGTGTTGTGGTGCAATATCAACAGGCAGCTGTCCCCTGGCTTCCCGATAAATAGGATGGCTGGCATTGCTGAGCGGTGTGGTCACTGCCAAAGGAATGGCCCTCTCACATTTCCTCTTGATTCACATACTCAGTGGGGTTGCCTGTCATCTCCTCCCTCTTCTGCTTCCCAGACACTGAGTCTGGAACGAAAATTCACCTGCCTCTGAGCTGGCCACTGGTGGGGGCGGGGGTGTTACTTGGGTTCCCAGGTTGGAAGATTATCTCACCCAGCCCTGGCTATATAAGCTGCCCCGTGTGGAGGAGTCCAGCAGGGCCGACTGAAGGGATTCATTCCGCAGGAGAAAAACATACAGACGAACTTCAGGCCAACATGATGATGCTGAAAGTGGAAGAGCTGGTACGTAAGACATGTTATTTTTATGCAATGAAAACTGGTTTGGTTTTAATTTGAAAATGAAAATGTCCTTTTTCTTTCAGGCATAATGCACAGGTACAGAATGCACAGTGAAAATGTCATATATGGAAAATGGTTGGTTTATGTGATAAAATGATTGGTACTGGAAAAATGGAGCTGGGAGCAATGACTTTTCTACATGTTTCCTATTTATTACCTTTTCCTTTTTGGTTTTATTACTAAAGTGTACACTCACATGTCATTATCAAAATGCCTTAGGGAAGAAGCTCTATGGCAAGAACATGTGTCAGAAAACTTTTCAACTCAAGGCCAAGAGTTATCATAAGTAATAAAATGAAGGAATTTTAAATATTCAGAGGGGGTGGTTGTGATTTTCCTAGGAGAAATGTGACTAAGTGGATTAAGTGTATTTCAGCATATCAATCTAACCTAAACCTTGATTTAACTAAGACAGCAGGACAACTACCTGAAGGTAGTCCTGGAACATCGCAGCAATGGGTCACACCTGAGATCTGACAGCTGCACAGGGGCGGCTGTTGCCAGGGAGGAGGACCAGGGGCCTCCTGCAGCATCCTCCGCAGAGGACGACCCCAGGACAAGCCCTGCTACTCTGACCTGCCATCTTCTTCCCTCGTAGGTCACAGGGAAGAAGAATGGCGGTGGGGATACTGGGGAGTTCCTCCCTGAGGATTTCACAGATGGAGAGTATGAAGCTGCTGTTACTTTGGAAAAGCACGAGGACCTGAAAACACTTCCGGCCCACTCAGTGAGCCTTGCGGAGCAGCAGTGGAAAATTGAGAAACAGCGAGAGGCAGAGGTAAGAACCCTCCATGGGATCCACTAGTGGGAGGTTAGGGATAGCATAGGGAAAAGGTGATGCCAAGCAGGAAGAAGCAAAGAGAGAAACAAAATAAATGCCACCATGCCAAAGATGTTTCATACCAAATATGAACCCCTGTAAAGAGACAACTTCTATGGGATATGTTGCGGGAAAGAATTCTTTCACAAGACTATGTCCTCCAGACTCTGAATCAATGATCGAAGGTTCTTTGACCATGTTCTGATTGAAAGACTTGGAAAGAGAAATGTGTCCAGTGAATTTCTGATGTCACATGCATCTAGTTTATCCCAAAAAAGAGAGACCCCTTTCTCTCAATAACGTGGTTTGTGGTCTAAGGATCATTCTTTGACTGTGTCTACTATCTGTGTTGCTAAGATCTGTGTTCCTGGGTGAATTTTCATTACTTACTAACGACAGATAAAACATGAATTAGTTAGCTGTAGTCCTCGGACAGTCTGTTTCATGGGCCCTGCTTACTGGGCCACCTGAAAGAGATTGGCATTGATATTTCAAACCTTAGCACTCATTATTAGATTATTTTGGGTAAAAAAAAAAATTCTTGAGTATGATGAAAAAATTTGACAGAAATCTGGGGTTTATGGTAATAATTACAAAATCATGACTTAGAGACTAGATCCTATCTCCAATTAGTCAAAAGCTGATGCTACATGCAAGATAAGTGAAGATGAAGACAATTAATTAAAAAATCAGACCCCCAAATCCTCGAATAAGAAATGACTAAACTGAAACCAAAGACTTATTTTTTCTATTCTTTTGCTCATGCAGTATACATACTTATTTCAGACCTTGCAGGTTTTGTTTAGACACAACCAGAATGCTTGTCAGTAGAACTCAACATATTTTGAAACACGGTTTTCTTTTTTTAGCTCAAGAAGAAAAAACTAGAACAAAGATCAAAGCTTGAAAATTTAGAAGACCTTGAAGTTATCATTCAACTAAAGAAAAAGAAAAAATACAGGAAAACTAAAGTTCCGGTTGTGAAGGAACCTGAACCTGAAATCATCGTAAGGGCTTTAGGTTTTATAGTCTCTCACGTCTGGCGTATGTGCTACGGGGGAATAAACTTGTGGAGGGTTTGATTGAATGTTGGGACGCTCACGGGTAACTCTCGCCCTATTTTGGCTTTAGACAGAACCTGTGGATGTGCCTCGGTTTCTGAAGGCTGCCCTGGAGAATAAACTGCCAGTAGTAGAAAAATTCTTGTCAGACAAGAACAATCCAGATGCCTGTGATGAGGTAAGGCTTACACAAAGCACTGGAAAACCCAGCTCATTAATTTTGTGTTTCTTCTGCTTTACTGCAGCCTTGCTAACATGGTGCCAAAAATCAATCCACCTGAAACAGCTTTCCCCAGCTGTTGCCACATATGTCAGCAGGATAACAAAAGAGTACAGTGGTCCAAAAGAAAAACACCCCCCCTCCCCACAAAATCCTGGATTAGTGCTATTGATTGAATAATTGTTTTGGACTCATATATTTCTGGCTTTTTCATTCGCCTTTAGCTTCTTAGATCCTTGGGATAGGCGTTGAATAAGGCCAGGCCAACAAACTACCTTTGCAGAAATAGAGTGTCCCCCCAAAAATGTATATACACTTTTTCCTGATAGCTCAATTGATGTTTCTTTCTTTACAGATTTAACCCATTGGAGTTAATAATTATTCAAAGTGTCTATGCATTTGGGGGGATACCCTGTATATTATTAGCATCATCTCTGATTGGACCCAAACACATCAGCTCTAGGTGGAAAATTCAGAGACTAGTGCTCATGTGCCAGCTCTATCTCTACTTCACTACTTGATTTGCATTTCCCCAATCTCAGTTTCCTTATCCGTAAGGAGGGCACTGGCGTGAAATCATGCCTAAAGTTGTTGCAGCTTTAATAAGTCAAATTCACCTATTTGTATGAAGCCAATTTAACAGAAACCACTAATCCTTTTTGTATTCAGAAATGTAAATAGGGAATCATTTCTGAAGTTGAACTAAAAATGAGTGCTCCCATTTTCTTAAAATGAATGGAATACTTTTCAATGTTTAACTTACCAACAGTCCCAGATGAAAGAAAACTGTCTGATCTGCATGATAAGTATCACACAACAATGAAGGTGCAAAATACAATAGAGGGAAAGTCGTCTTGAACCTGCAGGATGTCACATCCCCCTATGTAGATAGACTTCTAGGCACTTAGAAATGTACTTTGCAGGAAGCACAAATCTCAGTTGCAGGATAATTGTTCTAGTTCTGCAATTTTAGTGAATTTAACATTTCTAATTCATAAAGAAGCACTCCAGTTTCTATCAATTAAGTCATCAGAGTCCCCAGATTCAGACCTACTAGAAAGGATTTATGCACATTTTTATATGCATTTCTCTCTTTTAATCTCTGTTCTGACAGTATAAACGGACAGCTCTGCATAGAGCATGCTTGGAAGGACACCTGGCAATTGTGGAGAAGTTATTGGAAGCTGGAGCACAGGTTGAATTCCGTGATATGGTGAATATATTTCTTCGTTTGGAAATAAGCCAAAATGTATAGACTATATGAAGCTTGAGAAAAGCTAAAATGAAACACTGGGCTGATTGGATTGGAAATTGATCTGAGAGAACTAGGCAAAAGCTTATTTCTCCACACAAGAGATGGGACTAGGTCATGTGGAAAGTATTTTCTATACAGACTGAAAAGGAGGAAGTGAAAGCTGTTGAGCAGAATTCAATATCGTCATCAGAGAGCTGGGTCATTATCAAGTCAGTAGCATTACTGAGAAGTAATACAGTCGACACTCGCCTTTCAACATCCCCGCCCTTCCATTATACACGGCAGTCTGCTCGAGGCCCCTGGGCTGCCAGCAATGAATCAGAATTCTCTCGCTGCATGCCTTATATGATAGATGCTGACTGCCGTAGACGTGATTTGGGGCTAGACTGCATACTAAATGAATTGCATCTATGGAAAGCAGCTGCTTTTCAGACCTCAATAATTCAACACTGTGATTTCTACAAAGACCAGTATGCAGCGTATTTTATGAACTGAAATTGAGCTGGGAAATGCTTTATTTATTTAAATGCAGCTCAATTTGACTTTAGAGCAAAGCGGAAAGGGTACATGAAGAGTACAAAGGATTTGGCCAAAACTGAACCCAAAAGACATACAGAAGAACAATTAAAGAAACAAAAAATAAAGTTAGCATGGAAAGACACTAACATTCATGAGTGTGGGATTTGACAGGCCAGAGACAAACCACCCAGAGCAGCAAAGGGGGCCCTCTCTGAGTAAGTGCAGCATGCAGTGACCACATGGGATGACGGGCGAGGTGCAGAAGCTATGCTAGCACAAAGGAGAAATGAGGACGGGCAGGAGATAAGAAATAACAGGGGCACAGGAAGAGGTGTCAGATGCAAGTTAAAATCTTTTGGAAGGGACCACTTTTATTCTGCCAGAATTTTGAAGTACACTTTTTCTAGAACTTTTGAGTATTCGTATTTGGCAAAAGTGATTAAAAGTGGGTTTGCATATCTATCCTGCCATTCACTAGCTGTGTATCCTTGGGGAGCAAACATGACTACTGTGGAGCCTTGACTTTACCACAGTACCACCTACCTCACTCATAATGTTGCCAGGAGGACAACCAAGTCGAGGGTGGCTAGCAACATGTTGGCAGGAGAAATTCTCATCAAGTTGTAGCTCTTACTCTTCTTAATACATATTTATTAGATAAGAGCTTCCTAACGATGCACATGCCAGACGCACACATATGCATGCATATACTCCCTTTGCACACATGAGTTTAGCTAAAACATTTGGCAAAGAGCCTTCAACTCCAATAGTTGGAATTGGAGATCTAGACGGGGACAACCACTGCTACCAGATGCCCTAGCAAAGCAGGTGTTCCCAGGCCTTAGACACCGAGTCCGCACTAATTCCTCTGACCAGATTCTTCTTTACCTTAAGTCATGTCCTTTTACCTTCCGGGTATAGCTTGAATCTACAGCCATCCACTGGGCAAGCCGTGGAGGAAACGTGGATGTCTTAAAATTGTTGCTGAATAAGGGAGCAAAAATCAGTGCCCGGGATAAGGTATTTCTCCTCTTGCAGCCCTGCGCCCGCCCCCGCGCCCCACCCCCCCCCCCCCGCCTTCTCCCTCTCCTCTCTCTCTGTTCCCCCTCTTCTCCCTCTCCCTCTCCCCTCCTCCTTCTCTCTCCCTGTTCCCCCTCTTCTCCCTCTCCCCCTCCCCTTTCCATTCCTCATTTTCCACCTCCTCCCACTTTTGCCATCCTGCTGAGAGCCCATGCTGTGTGTGGGGTACCATAGTGGCCACTGGCCTGGTCCCCCACATGCCTCGGGGTCTGGGGCAACCCGGTCTTCATGCCCAGCAAATCCACCTCGTTCTTCAATCTCCCAGTTGCTCAGCACAGCGCTGCACGTGGCGGTGAGGACGGGCCACTACGAGTGCGCGGAGCATCTCATCGCCTGCGAGGCGGACCTCAACGCCAAAGACCGAGTGAGTAGTCAGAGTTTAGTCCTTGTTGATTTGGAATTACTCCCCAAGCCGGTACCCACGTACCCACCTCTGTCCTCAGGACCCCCTTCAGTGTGTTCACTCTGCTTCTCTAGGAAGGAGATACCCCCCTGCACGACGCCGTGAGACTGAATCGTTACAAGATGATCCGACTCCTGATTATGTATGGCGCAGACCTCAATGTCAAGAACTGTGTAAGTGCTCCAAACAAGGGACCCTGCCTGCAGGATTTCCAATTTATAAAACTGTCTTGAAAATCGTCCCACAGTGGTAGTATTTCAGGGGTCATCTCTAACGGTTTCAGTGCCCCGTTTGCTCCATTCCATCCCTGCTAACCTTGGCAGACTCGGGTCACCTGGTCAGAGATGGGGAGAGCCATAGTGACTGCTATGACTTCAGTGTCTAATATGGTATCTAGTAATTCTTTTAGAATTTGGTCTTGAAAATAAAAGATGGTCCAATTGCTCACCTCCACGGACACAAGTGCAATCTGCTGTTCCATCCTGGCTGAGCACGGCCTGGGGTTGACAGGAACACAGACACCACCTTCCTGAAGGGGGTCTCAAATTCCACAGTGGTCAATGCAGCCAGAGCCAATGAACTCAAATCAATCAATATCTAATCCCAGGAATTCACAGTCCTTCCCTCCTGACAACAGCATCGCATGCTACCACTTTCTTTCAGGGGCTGCTGTACTGTTGCCTATATTTTTGAGATAATCTCCATCTATTTTCCGCTTTGGTTTATCTGCACATCCCTCAAAATAATTTCCTACATTTAGGCCTCGAAAATGCTTGTATAAGTCCCTTTTACAAGTATGTATTAATTTAGCTTCATCTGTAAGCAGGGAACGAAACCAACTTCTCATGGTCCCAATTCCCAGGCAAACATCATCTAATATAAGCTTTAAAAATATCACCCAGAGGAAAGGGTGTAAATTACTGAAAAAATAACTTGAAAGATTTTGGAGAATCGCTTTTTTAAAAAAAAGAAAATCCCAGTGATCAAATAATGTTATTTCTTTCCTTATTGTATTACTATGAGACTGAGAGGAATATTTTATCATGGAAACAATTGGCTTGATGACAGGAACAAAGAATAAGTGCAAGAAATAGAGACTGCTGCTTGGGGTGGGAAAGTGTTAAAGGTAGAATTCCTTCACCCCTGATATTGGGATTGGCTTTATCTAATAATTTAAAGTATCAGAAAAAGAGTAGATTCAATCAAATCTCCAAAGCTGCAGAAAATATGATTTTTTTTCCTTCAGACTGTGAGCCACTACCCGCAGAGATAAATAGCATACAGATTGGGGAGACTGTGTAACTAGGCAGAAAATCAGGAGATAGATTTCAATAGAGAGGAGTTCCAGGAATTTATGGAATAGCCAAAAATATACAAATAGGGCTCAGAGTTCTGTATATCAGTGAGACCCAGGCATGCGGGTTCTGAAACTATTCATGTCATTGACCCAATGGGTCAATGTTCCACAAAGATCAGTAAGCTATTGGAAACCATCTTGGAAGGGGTTGGAAACCACACACAATATGTTATTGTGTTGTTGTCCAAACTGTCTTCATGTCTGCTGATAAAGGGAGATGTGTGAGAAGTTCCAAAGTGAAGGTTACAGGGCCACTAGCTCCATATGCACAGGGGCCAGGCGGATCAGACAAGTAACATAAGGGGGTGGGTGCAGGAATCTGTGCACATCACTTTGCAAGGTGGAGGCTCTTCCCCAAGTCAGCCCCTTGTTGCTCTGCGGAATCACAGTCTCATGCTACCAGCTCTCCTGATTGTTTGTTTTTCAGAGATCACTAATTCAGTTGGGAAATCTCTTATTTTCCAACTGTTGACAATTAATTCCAATGTACAAAATACACACCCATACACACACACACACACACACACACACACACACCCCAAACCTAAGCTGTTTGGGCCAAAACAAAACAGGTCTCTAGACCAGTGATGGTGAACCTTTTGAGCTTGGTGTGTCAGCATTTTGAAAAACCCTAACTTAACTCTGGTGCCATGTCACATATAGAAACTTTTTGATATTTGCAACCATGGTAAAACAAAGATTTATATTTTTGATATTTATTTTATATATTTAAATGCCATTTAACAAAGAAAAATCAACCAAAAAAATGAGTTCGCGTGTCACCTCTGACACGCATGTCATAGGTTCGCCATCACTGCTCTAGACTGAGTTGCATCTCAAAGCTGCCAATTTGCAATCTCTGTGTTAAACAGAGACTTCTGAATGAATAGAGATGGAAAGTTTTAGAACTTCTCATATTTAAAGACAAGAATTGAGAGGTGCCATGATTTTAATTTTCAGTGACTATCTTGAGACATTCAAAAGAAAAAGAATTTTGGTGTCAAAAATTATTTATTCACACACGTCATTAATGTCACCTCCAGAAAAGTAAAATTTCCTGGGAGAGAGCTCAATGTAACTAGTTGTGAAAAATCTACCCCCTGGAGCAGTAATAGTTCTGAGCAGTTCCTGAGTATTTAAGCCAAGGCGTCGAAGCAGCTGGGTTACCACCAGTTTTTATCAATCAAGGAATCATTTTACAAATTGATAGGAACCGGGGATTTTTATTAATACCTGAAATAGTCCCATAGGGGGGAAAAATTGCTCATCTGAAATGCCAAAAGCATTCCCATGAGAAACAGTGAAAGACTGGTTTGAATAAAAACGGCAAATCACTTAGAAGAAAGCATAAAACACTCCAGTAACACACACCCATCCATTACCTCATTAAACATATCTTGAGAGAGGATGTGAATTTATAGATGCCTCCCATCTGGAAGTCAAATTTCCTCATCTGTTTTGATTAGGCTGGGAAGACCCCGATGGACCTGGTGTTACACTGGCAGAACGGAACCAAAGCGATATTTGACAGCCTCAAAGAGAACTCCTACAAGACCTCTCGCATAGCTGCATTCTAGGAGACACGACCGACCGACCGCGGGCTTTCTTCAGCTGCTCCTCACTGGTGGCCTTTGAAGGCCGGGCCCCAGAGAAGAGCAACTTAGTTACAGAACCCTGCTTCTCGTCATCAACCTATGGTCAGGCTGCACCTTGTAAAGTTTCAAGAAAGCACTGGGACATAGGCATTGAAATTTCCCTTAGGGCGACCCACTCTATTTATTTGTATCTATTCCTGTGCATCTATTTATTTATTCTTAAATGAACCCCACTATCACGGATACTCAGGTTCTTTATGCTCATCCTTTGGTGGGCAGAGCCTGATTCGTACACAATGCTCCAGAGCCTTCCCGTAGATAGTCTGTAACGCAGGCCAATGAGCAGTGCTCAGTGGCTGCCTATGTGTCACCTCACTCACGTAGGATATTTCAAGGTGTTTCTAAGAGACAAAGGTGATTATTGCCGCCCTCTTTTCTCCTGAATTTTTACTGCTGAAGTCTGAGGCAATGGAAATGCATACGGTGACAGAAACAGTAGAATGGAAGAGAAGGACAGGAAAGCCAGCCGTTTTCCGGCTGGGCCTGGTATTCCTTACCAAGTCACGCACTGTGCTAAGGTGAAGCGGATGTTGCGAGTGTGAGCGGAGTGCAGTGGAAGGAGTGGGCAATGGGGCCATGCAGAATAGGATTTGCTCAAAAAGATGAAAGTAATGGCAAATTGTAAATGTGTAAATGTATCTTATGTCGTATGTATATTTTATATTCATAATAAAAGCAAACACATTCTAAACCTCTTTCTAAGTACTTCTATAAGTGAAAAAGGCCATTTAGATGGGGTGTTGTTATTCTTCCAATTTTATTCTTATTCTTCCAAGTTTTTTAGATTAGGACTGCCCTGTAAGAACAGTATTTCTCAGTAGTTAATATGTATGTGGATCACACGAGGATCTTAAAATGCAGATTCTGATTCTGCCAGGCTCAGACTGGACCTGAGGTTCTAGAAGTGGTGGTATGCCACCACCACACCTTGGGCTGCAAGGCTTGAAAACCACTGATACAAAGGCATAAGTTCTTGCCTGTCCATAGTGGCCTCGTGGTTGAACATTGATGAACCTGGATTCCTGATCAGGGCATATGCGTGGTTGCGGGCTTGATCCCTGGTGTGGGGTGTGCAGGAGGCACTGATCAATAATTCTCTCTCATCATGGATGTTTCTATCTCTCTCTCCCTCTCCCTTCCTCTCTGAAATCAATAAAAATATACTAAAAAAAAAAAAAAAAAAAAAAAAGAATAAGTTCTTTTGGCCCCAATGATGGGGGAAAGAGACCCCTGGTGGGCAGAATGTTTACTGCATGCTAAACAATGCTCCTTAAGAAGTTCCATCAGGAATGGACTGAGGTTTAACCATGGTTAAGGACAGCTCTGGCAGTGTCAAAGGCCTCCAACAAGAAAACACACCTGGTGGATAACTCCTGATCTCCAAGGTGTTTGTTGCCAGGTGTTGGACCAGGTGCTAAGACCTGTGATGAGAAAATTCGATGAATACTAAGAAATAAATAATCACAGAAATCAATATATATATATATAGTAAATGCCTGTAGTAAGTACAATGAAGTAAAAAATAAAGAGCTATGAGTCTAAGATGTGGAGGCACATCATCTGATGGGGTGAGGGGATATCTACAAAGACTGCTTAGAGGTGGTGGCTTTCAGAGGAATCTGAGGGATAATCTGGAGTAATTCAAGCACAGAACATCCCAGGCAGTGGAGAGAAGAGAGGAAAGGGCATGGGTATGGGAATAGTGTGGCATGTTAGGAAATGTCTGAAGGCCATCATGAAACACCAGCACTGGTACCCTCCCCAGAACTCGCTCCAGACAGTATCACACACATAACCTCTTAGCTATGCCTCCAACACTTTGAGAGGACACTCAGGCATAGTCCATACCAGCTCTTGCAGGCAGCTGGTCATGCACACATACGGAGTTCTGAGGATGGTGTGAAATATTTTTGAACCTTTTCTATCTAGTCTCCTAACAATCCAGAGTCAACCTTCCAGGGGCAGCTTCCTTCTATCTCCCTCCCTCCCAACCCCCTCCCTCTAAGGTCCTGGCTCTAACTTCTCAGAGCCTTAAGGCTCAGGGTCCTTCCCTTTCACAGGCAACATTTCTCTTGCTAATACTGACGTCTCCCGTGGCATTAACTTCAGCGTGTTATGTGACCAAGTCCTCTCTTTATGATGATTTTCTCCAGTCTCCCTCCCCACAAGAGTGGGTGGGTAGAGAAGAGACGAAGGGGTTAAACACTTTTGTGTCGCCACATATAAAGACCTGCACTAACGCAGAGGTAGAGACAACATGGGCTACATCCCCTAGAACAAGGGCAACTCAGCTCTGCTGAAAAAAAGATAAACCGTTCAGGCAAAATTTTCAAGTCTCTGTTGAATAGGAAGTCAACTTTTACAAGCTCCTTCCTTGTCTTCCCCCCGAGCCAGCTCTGTCCACAGTCTGTTGTCCTGGGTTTTCTCAGTGAAGGGAATATTCCTTTGGCCAAGAGACCCCTGGAAGTTGTTCTTGACATTCTCTCTCCCTCACCCTCTTTCAATCAACCACGGAGTCTTCTTACCAAGGACACTGCTCTGTAACCTGCCCACTTCCTCCCATCCCAGGGCCACCCCCGTCGTTCAGATCACCAGGCCCTCCTGAGACCCCAGCCTCTGGTTTACTTCCCTCCAGTCTGTTCTCCAAATTGCAGCCAGAGTGATTTTTCTAAAATGCAAATCTGGTCACCTCATTCTCCTTTGAAAAATTCTTCAATGGCTTCCCTTTTCTCCTTAATGTTTTCTAAAATCCTTAAAATCAGACAGCTGTTAACTCTATTCTCATCTATTTCTCATTACTTTCCCAGCTAAACTCTAAATTTCAACTCCACTGAATTTTCAGTTCCTTAAAAAATCCAGGCACTTGCTTTTCTGTTCTTACATGAGGTGGCAGTTCCCTGGAAGGGTCTTCTTCCCACCCAACCCCACCCCACCTGCGGCATCATTTCTCCTTCTTCCTTTGGGTTAGAGCAGGGGTGGGCAAACTTTTTGACTCGAGGGCCACGATGGGTTCTTAAACTGGACCGGAGGGCCGGAACAAAAGCATGGATGGAGTGTTTGTGTGAACTAATATAAATTCAAAGTAAACATCATTACATAAAAGGGTACGGTCTTTTTTTTTTTAGTTTTATTCATTTCAAACGGGCCGGATCCAGCCCGCGGGCTGTAGTTTGCCCACGGCTGGGTTAGAGCAAGCGTGTCAAACTCACAGCCCACATGCAGCCCACGCGAATATTTTGCGGCCCAGCCAATATAACAGTATGTAAGAAACGTTTTAATAAAATAATAAAAATTTTGTAACTTCATTTTTACAATGTCCTGTTATACATCATTAATAACAACCTACAACGTTCGCTAATGACTTATTACTATAATCGTGTTGCATTCATTTCCCTTACTCGCCTTACACACAGGCGCACCATTTCTTTCCACTAATACTAGCAGCGAATATTTTAGCAGCCGATTGCCACATCATTGGTCTTGTCCTGACTTGTTTGGTGTGCACAACAGGAAATATTTTGCTTTTGGAGAACAAGAAAAATAGGTTTATTTGCGTTACGCTTATTAATTTGTGCAGTTATTCAGTGTCTGGTAAGTAATGTTCAAGAAAAAATATTAATTTTTATTAAAATGTTCTATTATTTTATGTTTTTCAGCCCTTTGTATTTAGCATGTCTCTATCAAAATAAACCTACGTTTCTATGAAAACTGAAGTTTTTTTTGTGGCCCACATTAACTTAAGCCTTGTTTATTTGGCCCGGGTTAGCCTTTGAGTTTGACATGCTTGGGTTAGAGGCATTTTTGTCCAGGAAGCCATCTGGACCCCTTCCTTTGGACTTTGTTATTCCTTCCAAGTGTATTCTTAAACTTTTTCTCCAGGTCATTACATCTATCACGCTGCTTTCATCCCCCAAATGAAAAACTTCCTCTCTCCTCTTGAACAAGCAATACATACTCATTAAGTATTAAGCCAATTATAGAAACAGATACTGAAAAAAGCTACATCACACCAATAATCCTAATTTCATGGCACTCTGATTTTTCTGTGCACATTACATATGAGCACTGCACATTTAGTTTTATAACTTTGTTCTCAACTGAACCTATTCTACACACCTTTATTCTTGTTTCACTGTACAATGGATCATTTAATTAATCCTATTATTATTGGGCATAAGGTTGTTTTCATTTTCCCATTATTTAAGATATTGTTGCAATGAATATCCTCATCCATGCACCCTTTCTATCTAACCAGTTATTTCTAAAGAAATATATTTACAGGAATATCTATAAGATTGGTATCAAATTATATCCCTTCCATGTTAATGCCTTTCCCCACAATCATGAAAATACTCATTTTATAAATTTTTCAACCTGGTCAGCAAAACAAAATTTTATATTTGGTAACTTCTGCCTGATTACTAAAAAGTTCAGCTTCTTCATGTTTACTGAACATTTTTCTAGGTCAACCTTTTTTGCCCAATTTTCTAGTAAGTCAGATTCCCTTAAAACAGCACTTGAAAAGAGGATTCTTGTGGTTTACTGAGAATAAATGAAGGTAACAGGATGGGGTGGGAGAAGAAAAGAGGCGAAGATGTGGCTTCAAGAGAAGTCTCTCTTCAGCCTAATCCCAGGGCGCCCAGGAGCACAAATGCACAGGTGGGCCAACCTCAAGGGGTGAGAGCAAAACATTCCAGGCATCTGTGGGTAAGATGACACCCATCGTCCAGGACAATCCTTTGGAGAAAGATGGAGATGACCATTCGTTCCCACCATCCGAAGTAGCTGAGGGCTGGGTATACCAGCCTGGAAAAACGGATCTGGGTGGACACTAATGGCATTGGGGATGTTGGATGTTTTTAAAAAACAGTTAAAGATAAGGATGCTAAACCTCTCTGGAATCCTATATAATAAAGAGGTAATATGCAAATTGACCATCATGCCCTTGCACAAGATGGCCAGCAGGGGAGGGCAGTTAGGGGCGACCAGGCCAGCAGGGGGGGGGCAGTTGGGGGTGTCAGGGCCGGCAAGGGAGGGCAGTGGGGGCAACAGGGCTGGCAGGGAGGGCAGTTGGGGGTGACAGGGCCGGTAGGGGAGGGCAGTTGGGGCAACCGGGCCGGCAGGGAAGGGCAGTTGGGGATGACAGGGCCGGCAGGGGAGGGCAGTTGGGGGCGATCAGGCTGGCATGGGAGTGGTTAGGGCAGTGGTTCTCAACCCTCTAGCCCTTTAAAGTCAGTTCCTCATGTTGTGACCCAACCATAAAATTATTCTCGTTGCTACTTCAGAACTGTAATGTTGAATGAATCGTAATGTAAATATCTGATATGTAGGATGGTCTTAGGCGACCCCTATGAAAGGGTCGTTCGACCGCCAAAGGGGTTGCAACCCACAGGTTGAGAACTGCTGGGTTAGGGGGTGATCAGGCTGGCAGGCAAAAGCGATTAGGGGCAAAGACGAGCGGTTGGGAGCCAGCAGTCCTGGATTGTGAGAGGGATCCCAGATTGGAGAGGGTGCAGGCTGGGCTGAGGGACACCCCCCAGATTATATATATATAATCTGTTGCTTTTGTTAATCCTCACCTAAGGATATTATTCCCATTTTTTTTTTAATTTTTTTTTTAGAGAGAGTGGAAGGGAGGGGACTAAGGGGTGGGGAGAGAGAAACATCAATGTAAGAAACATTGTTTGCCTCCTGC